AAAAGTATTTTCACTTTTCATTATAAAATCCATAACAATATAAACATTTTAGTTGTATGATTAGTGGGCTACATTTTAAAAATTTAAGTACAAAACAAAAGCCAAATATGAATTGAGTATTTATTTTGATATGCTTGTTTCAGTTTTGACTCTCAGTCTATGCAGGTATTTAAAAATTTACTGAATAAATATTCAAATCAAAATAATTTTTATTAGAAGTGTATCAGGACAGAAAAAGGTTTGTTGAGCTACTTAAAAGGAATAATTCTAGCAGTATTTTAGCTAAGAGAAAAACACTATTTCATTGGTGATTTCAATAATTATGTTAATGTAGTTTCTAGAATATTGATTTTCATATTAAATTTTCATAATTCTACTATAGCTTAACTTAGACAAGTTGAAATAAAACATTAATTCAGACAAATAATGCTCCAGAAAAGGTGAAGAATTTTGTAAGCTAAAATTATACTTGTGAATTCATATATAGATAATAATAAATTAATTTATGTTATTCAATATATAGTTTTAGGATGATTATGTTGATATTACTAATATACTCATACTGACAACACAGTTTTTAAGTCAGTTTTAATCCTGTTTTTAGTACCAATCTGATGTATATCTTAAAATAATTCAAAAATCTATTACTAATTTTTACTGATACTAGTTATCTCATCTTTATGCAAGCAAATATATTAGCACTAATAGGAATTATACAAGTAAATAACCAATATTGCAATGAGTGAATTAATAGACCCCTCAGGGTTTATTAATTAAAAAGTTCAAGTCATATTAAAGCCCCTTTTGTATATGTTTATTTCAGTCAGAAAGCTGAACATGGTAACTTATTTGCATAAATAATCAATCACCATTTACTAGTAGTAATAAGGTTAATTTGTTGCTACAGACATAATAGGATTAGTCAATTATATTTCCCTGAAAATACTGTTTGTTATGCACCCCATCACCTGTAAAACAGGATTGGGTTTAGCGCCCTTATTAAATGAACACATCAAAAAAAAAATCTTTGTCCCTGTAAAAGTTTTATGAAAAGAAAGCTAATTTTAGTTGATTTGAATACGTAAAATACGAACACTGCTTCCATTTGTAAATTTAATTTATCTTTCTGCAAAGATTGATTATTTAAGAAAGTTATTTATTTTGATTCAGTAACCAGTCAAACTAAATCTAACACACATAGGACATATTTCCTTTGAAGAAAATCTCATTTGCAGATTTGTTTTATTCCAAATTAACAGACTTTCATTCCCTTGTCCTTGTTCTTGGGTAATAAATTATGTTGTCTGCTCCACCTACTGGTAGATACATGCAAAGGCCTATTGTTGGATTCATTAAAGGACACTGCCTCTGAAGTGTTGCCAGAATTTTTCAGCATCCTCCTGGAGATGAGCAAAATGACAGATACAAATGCCAAACTCAAGCTCTAAATGAGAAAAACAAGCATTTAGAAATCTAGGTTATTATTTAAAATTATACACAGCAATAGTTTCCTGATTAGTGAGCATATTACCCTGTTTTTTAAATTTCAATGTGCCAATAAAAAAGGATAAATAAATACAAAATATACTTATAACGCAGTATATTAAAACTATGTGTATTTTATTTTAGTTTTGGCATTGCATATTTATACATATTCAAATTAAAGGTAAAATGAAAGCTTATGAAGTTAATTAAAATTTATACACATTTTTTGTGGAAGTAATTTTCATGTGATCTTCATGTAATATCTTCCATCTTATGTAATTTGCAATGTTTTTCCTTTAGTCGGTACGTCAAATTTTCTCATCAACACTGAGATGACTTTCAGCTATTTATGATTCTTTTAAAAGACTCCATACTCTGATTAATATTGATAAAATTTTATTTTTAACTACTTTAATTTTTAGAGAAACAAATGGTTTCAGCTACTTTCTTTTCAAAATGATATGAAATCACACTCATGTACAGAAGGAAAATATCAGTTTTAAAAAGTAAATTTGACATACCAATAATTAATTGGCAGTCTGTTGATATGGACCACATCTTTATAAAACAAATCTTTTAAGAGGAAAAAATACATAAATTAGGAAATATAGTAAGTCCTCCAAATCATTTATTGCCCTCAACTCTATTTTTCCAGTGTGATAAGTGGGAAGATTCCATGCCTTACCTATATTAAGTACCTAATATGTGATTGCTCGCTTTTAATTTGAGGTGATGAAGTAACAGAAGAATTGTAGCCTTCCAGTGTGCATCTGCCTTCTGTGTGTGTGTGTGTGTGTGTGTGTGTGTGTCTTTGTATATATGGCATATTTGGGAAGTACCTTTGGAGAGCTGTCTCATAAGGAATTGTCCTCAAGCAATGGTATTCCACAGCAGTGGTTAGGTAATTCAAGTGTGATGTCAAAACATACACCTGTAATGACTCTCCCAGGTTCATTTTAGACTTCTTGATCCTTATCTCAAAACCACTTTTATTTCAAAACATTAATTTTGTTCCTTCCTAATTTCTCCTGGACTCTCTTTCTCATGTGGGTTTATCACCAACCAGTTATCCTTCTTGAAAACACCAGCATTCTGGTTCTGTACTGCTCCTTGAGTTACCTTCAGTGTTCTTTTTACCCTTTCTCTAAAATGACTTAGAATTATAAGAACATCGGAACTGATTCTGAGTGTGTTCATGTACAAAGATAGAGAAAAACTAGTGCCTGCATAAAAAAGAGTGAAGC